TCTTCTTCTTCTTCTTCATCTTCATCCCTTAGATGCAGAACGGATTCCACGGTCAAAGGAATGACATTCTTGTTCGGCTTACGAGCCATCCTCTTCTTCGGTTTTGGATCTTCGAGAACGGAGGCTCTTTTCCTTTTATTTTCCTTCACCGGCTTTGGGACAGAGGCCGAAATTTCCTCCTCATTGGACAAGGGCCTCAAAACCGCGTCTTTACCCAAATCTGCATATGGAAAACCTTAATATTTTGAAAACCACCTCATTCGGATCATCAAAAAGTATGAGAAATGAGCTTACCGTGATTTTTGGCCTCCCACTGACCCTTTGACAAATCACGCCTTGAGCGCTCGGCGTATGTGGAGGTCAAAACAAAGGCCCGTACCCAGTTCTTGAATCGGGAACTGCTCCGGGCATTCAGGGAACTGCTACATCACAAAAAGAGGAGTATCGATAAGAGAATAAATGAAAGAACAAAGTAGAAGTAACAGCAAGATCACACTTACGTTTCATATTTCACTCCTCGGGAAAGGGCATTTTTTCAGTCGGAATCAGGTCCGAAGTCCTTACTCGAACGAACCTGCCCATCCAACCCCGGTCCTTGTCCTCGTCAATACTCAAGAACAGAGCCTTGGTAGCCCGACGCTGAAGTTTTATTAACCCTCCTCGAAAAAGTCGAGGACGGTATAATCGGATAAGATGGTCGAGGGTGAACGGCATCCCCTCGATTTTGCTTACGAAATATCGGATCAGGATAACGATCCGCCAAAACGAAGGGTGGACCTGGCCTAGGGTTATTTAGTATTGACGACAAAAATCAATGATAACGGAATTGAGGGGATCTAACGTGAAAGGGTAAGTGTACACATTCAAAAACCCTTTCATGTAAGAAGTGATGTCTTCGTCAGAAGAAGGAATCATTATTTCTTTTTTTATCCCAATTGCAATCTTTCTTTAGCTGTTGGAGGTGCTTCTCGGTTATCAAACATATATACCTCGATACCGGTTCACATCGACTAGGCACCGATGATCCTTTATCAACCTTGAAATCAGAAGTAAGGACGCACTCCCCAGGAATGCACTCCTCAGGCCGTGGTTCTACCGGCGTATCATCAGCGGCACACTGTGAAGATGAAGTTTTCTCTTTCTGAGGGATGGTTTGTGACGTTTTCGCCATTTTCGAGTTCAGAAGCGAGCAATAGAGAAAAATGACAAAGATTTGGTAAAATTGAGGAGGGACTTTTGCAGAAAGAAATCACAGATTTACTGGTAAGTTGGAGAGTACGAAGAAGAACTTGGGAAATTTGGAAGATAGAAGATGTAAAAGTGGTAAAAGATAAAAGAAAGGGTTATTTATAGGTTCAAGCGATGGCGGTTCAGTATCAGCGGTGGCCGACCACCGCCTGACATGCATTAAATGCCTTGAAAAACTAAACCGACGGGACAGCTACCAGATGCGTCATGGTCGAACCCGATGGAAACGTCAGGTTATAATTCGATCGAGTCGTTAAAAAATCATATCGTTTCTCGCCACATTCTTTCTGAGAAACGAGAGGACTATCTGTATACGGTCGAAATAGATTTCGGCCTTAGCACGTCCGATCGAGTTCGAACGATGATCTATCGAAGTAAGATCCCGAAGGTGGAACAAACTAACCTCGAACCCGGAGAGGCTGATCCGTGTCGAGTTCGATATCATTATCAAGCTCGAATCGAAATCGAACCATGATGCAGAGTAGATCTATCATGCTGATAATCTAGAGACCAACCAACATTGACCTCGAATCAATTCGAGGGCTCGAGCCAGGATCGGGCTCAAACCAAGATCAAGAGCTCGAGTCGAAATCAAGCTCAAACCAAAATCGAGGGTTCTAAGCAAGATCGAGCTCGCAGACAAAAGCCGTTGCAATCCCACTAGAGAGAATCTTGGCAGAAATTGTGGAAAAACTGACTTATCATGGGCCTCCCACTGAATGTTTATTTTATTATGCTTAGAGCCAAATCCCTCCACTATAAAAGGACTTGGTTACCATTTCTGTAAAAACAAGTTTTCTTAGGCTTACATTGTAATAAAAGCGCTATATTCTTCTACAGTAAAGAATCGTTCTTTCAGATTTCTTAGATTGATTCTATTTGTTGAATCCTAAGATTCATTGTTCCTGACAACCTTATCTATTTCGTATTCTCTGCAATCTATATTTACATTTCTATTTATCCTTATATTTTGTGTTAAGTTACGCCACATATCCTCGGAACTACATATAAATTCAACTCTATCCATTTTTCGGGTAAATACACCTAAAACGCAATATGATACAGTTAGTAAAAAAACAAAAACAAACAACAAGCGATAGATATAAACAAGCACTTATATATTTCATGCATCTCGCTTATATATTTCATCACGTCCATATATTTCTTGACAGTAACTGATGTGATGACAACGATAAATGGTATGTTGCCTTGTGAATAGGTAGATGTTTTCAGATGCGCCGCAATATAACCCAACAGTGTCACTCTAATACTCGCTTTCTTACATCTATATGAAAAAAATAAGACGTTTAAAAATGACAGATAAAAAACAGTATTTATATACTAACTCCGGTAGCATGATCGTCATATCTCTCTTCCTATTACCATCTATGACCTCCATTCTGCCAATGAATGTCGGACATCCTATAACATCTACAACGGAAAACATACTTAAAAATTAGCAAATAAGTGTATGTAAACAATTTAATAAGGCACAAGTAATTTACAAATAATCGATCATCACTAATTCGAGTCTCAATAGTTGGGATGTCAACAAATTGATGGGATTTCACAATGTTTTTCATCAATTTTCTTGAATGTAGTAAATATCAAGAAATATATCATGTGATCCCCCATAATCGGCAAATAATTTTCAGTATTAAGAGTCACCTTAAAACCTGTAATTACGTGCAACCTTCTTGGAACTTATTCTGATGTCTTGTGAGTTGTTGCATGCATTAAATCCTTCTGTTGGGATAAAAATAACAGTAAACTCATTATAAGAGTTCCGATCCACACAAGTGAAATAAATATATAATGAATAAGACAGATGAAGATTCGTGGAATAAACAGTGGAAGAACCAATGAAAAGAATCAAAATAATAAATCATGGAACAACCGAATATAGTAGAATCAAAATAAAATTAGAATATGTACATCCTGATCAATAAAAACCATGTCGCGGCTAATAACTTCATTATTGTTCTTCAAATTGACCACAAGATACGACATATCCTAGTTTGGCTAATCTTTCTTGGAAGGATTAAGGTCATCAAGCGAGGACGCAACTACCGTTTCATCTAAAGGCCATTTAGAAAATATAATTAGTTGTAACTATTTAAATTCCAGCAAAATAAATTCACATGGAGTTCACTAATACTATCCCTTTATATAGGCAATGCAAAGGAGACAACAAAGATAATAATTTTATGTATTTAACACAACAATGCAAAAGTAATTAATGAATACGAGGAACTCAAAAGATCATTACGTTAGTAAAGATGAAATGCTTTAGGGAGTAGTTTCAAGTTGGGTTTCAAAATTAGTTTACAATAAAAAACGAAATTAAAAATAAAATAAAATTGCCAATACAAATTGGGGAGTAGTTTCAAGTTGGAGTTTTAAGATAAAATAAATTACATTTCTAACTAAAAAACTTTTTGAATTTTTAAATTTTAAATTAATTGGTTACTCTATTTGAATTAAAAAATATAGATATCTTATAATTAGCTACAATAAGAAAAATAAAAAAAACTACCCATTCAAATTGGGAAATAGTTTCAAGTTGGAGTTATAGAATTTGTTTTTTAAAAAATGCCAATTCAAATTAAGGAATAGTTTTTACTTGGAGTTTTAAAATTATTTTAAAATAAAAAAAAAAAAAAACTTTCAATTCAAATCGGGAGTAGTTTTTTCCTAATATACTAGTCTCTCCCTCTCTCCCTCTCTCTCTCTCTCTCTCTCTCTCTTTATATATATATATATATATATTAGTTAATAATTTAAATTAAATTAAAAATAATTATACATATTGGTAGTTTTTTGATAAAAATAATAAAAAGGCTTATATCTTTATACTTTTGATGAATTTAAAATTATAATTTAGTAAAAAATATTACATTATTTAAATTTTCAGTAAATTTCAAAATAAGAAAACTAATCAAATATTACAATAGAAAAGAATGTACGAAAAGATGGGGATAAAGACAATTTTATGATATGTATAGACTTAATTAATAAATAATGAATAAATAATAAATAATAAATAAATAAATAACACTCAATAAAATTATTCATAAATTTAGACAATTGAAGAATTTTGAACAGTATAACATAAGTTAAAAAATATATTTACAGAGTAATAAATATATATATATATATATCTATATTATAATAAAAGAGAATTAATTTCAAAATATAAAAATAATTGACAAGTTAATAAAAAGTTATATTAATAAATATATAGTACTAAGTACTTGCTAATTTAATAATGAGTAATAAGGAACAAATAATTTATTCAATTACTATTTAATGTGTATTCTTTTGTTTTGTATAGATCTTTTAATATTTCTGTACACTACATGAAATAATAAAATAATAACTAATATTTATTAAAATAATTTAATATATTAGATCATAACTTTATAAGATTAATATTCTGTTAAATTATCCGCGCATCGCGCGGGTTCTAACACTAGTGCTGTATTAGAAAAATGAATCCAACAATCACGTTGTCTTGCCGAAGGAAAACTTTTAATCGACCTGTGGAGAGTAGTAGTAAAAGAAAAACCACAACCAGAAAATCTGAAGGCTATCTTATAAACATCCCACAGCATTAGAAGTATTTTTGCATGGGGAAGAAGAGAGCAGAATTATTATTTCAGCTTAGATTATACCCAAATACAACAAACTTTTATTATCACTCTGACAAGAACGCCAAAGATTCAAGACATCAATATTGCAACACCAAGAAAAAAGTGAATAGCTAGCCATCATTTTAAGCCGTGCACAGAGAGGTTCTTGGGAACGTTAACATTCCCAGCAGAAGATAAAATAGTGAAATAATAATAAACTACAACCGGCTAAAGCAGAGGAGGAAAAAACAAAAGTTGAAAGGAGATGAATAAGAATAGAACTAAAAATCTCCAGAGCAAATTCATGATTCAAGCTAACTGCAACAAGTAAAAAGATGGAACTGATTCTCCCTGGCATTACTTCCCACCATCACAATAAATTAAGCCTTGCAACTTTTACAACTTTCAAATTGAAACAGATGGAGCCAGTTTTCCATCACATATACTGCATCATCAAGCGACTCTGCAATTAAAATTTGATAAAGTAGCTAAAATACAGAAATAATATTCATGCCCCAGGAAACCACTTGGGCAAACTTTTTGTATAAACATGTGGACTAAAAAAAGCACATGCAGACCTTTAGTTGAAGCTGAATCCCCCAGAAGGCACAGAGACCTCGCCATCTCCAAACTGAAAACCCTGTTGGGGTGCATCACCAGGTGGCATTGTCTCGTCATCTTCCTCCAACCAGTATGTCTCAAGAATCTTAACTGCCTTTTCATAAATTTCTTGATTGTCATGGCTTTGGAGATTCTCAATTTTTTCTAAACCTTCTGCATCATCAATCAGCTGCGCATAAAGATTTACATCCGCTGTCCGGCCCAAATTCTTCTCAGCTTCACCAACCTTCAAGATATTTTCAAGCCCTTCAAGACAAACTGTGACAATCCTTGGGTCAGGACAAATGAGAAGATCACACAGAGGTTTGATACAACCTTGACTAACAAGGTACCTGCAGGTAATGATAACATAAATCGAGCAGAAATGTCAGCGTTTGCCGACAGCTTCTGGTAAACAGAAACCAGAATATCCAAATCTTACTTGATCTGCTCATGCGAACCACCAGATGTGGCATTTGAGATTGCCCATGCAGCCTCCTTTTTTATATCAAACTCCGCATTTTGTAGCAAATTAACAAGAGGACCAATAATACCAGTCTCAATTACAGACTGCAGCATAGATAAAATAACATAATCAAGAAGCACAAGTGGAAACAATAAATAAACATCCTAATATTGCCAAGAAAAAACGGTCACGAGAAAGATTAATTTTTCTGTAGTCCAATTCTTTCTTCTTTTCTTTTTTGGAAAAGGGAGGGAGCTGGTTGGCAGTAGGGGAGCAAACAAAAACTAGCCATAAACCAGAATTACACACCCAGCACTACCTGAATTTGCTCCCTGTTGCCAGCTGTGATGTTTGAAATTGTCCAGCAAGCTTCCTTCTTAATACTCTTCTTGTGATTACCATTCAACAAGTTCAAAAGACAAGGCAAAGACTGATGGTTGATGATACACTGAGAAGAAATTTTATTAGTAAGAAAAGTAAGCTTCAGCATTTGACATCGGACAACAATATACCCTTTTTTCTTAAGGTATCAAAGAACAAGATACCCTTTTCTCTTAAGATATCAGACAACAAGATACCTTTTTTTCCTTAAGGTATCAGATAGCACGACACCCTTTTTAATAAGGTATCAAACGAAATACTAAAAAATGGATTTGATTAGTTAGAAAAATAAGCTTCATTATCTGGCATCAAACAACAAAACCACAGATACACAACCATAGTTTAACACAAAAAAATGAAAAAGAAAGACAAAGCAAAACAAAATCACCAACCATCACAAGAAGATATGATCCCACAGATCAAAACCATTATGTTTGAGCATAGACATACCCTAATACAGCAAAGAGTGGCAAATATAATTTGTGGTCCAAGATGCATGTCTCAATGCCAAGTAATGCAGTTTAAAATGGGAAGTTCAGAAATCTCGGTGTGTCCAAAATCCTATATCTCTCTATTACCCGGTTCAAGGAACATAATACAGAAATATTTCGCCTATCATCAGAAAAGAAGAGACTGAGTTTTTTTTTAACTAATTTAGGAAACACCAAAATAAATCTATCATTTATCCCAATTTGCAACGAGGTAAACAATATCTCAACAGCTGTAGGAAGCGAATCAATAGAGATTAGAGATGCATGGGAATGTTCAACAGAACAAAGAAAGTAGGAGAAGAAAATCATAAACTAGCACAGCTACAAATTCAGTGGAAAAAATGGAAACAATTTACAGTGAAAAGGGAACCATTTAGCAACAGATGAAGAAAAAATTATGTAATGTTAACCACATATATTTTCTCAAGTATGCACGTGACAACTGCTGATAGATACCAACATTATATATTGCAATTTATTAGGTGAATATTTGGTCTGCAAAAAGAATAAACTAGGATAAGATGTTTTAGAATGAATCATCCTCCAACATAACTCCACATGAGGTTGGTTAACACAGAAAAAATTTCAGAAACATCTTCTCAATTATCTTATCACATTTCTGTAGTGCTGGATAAAGATTTAGATAGACATAATTGACCAAAAAACACCCCTGGAGGATAAAGGCAAACTTCACTAAATTTGTATTTTATTAAATTTTGAAGAATTGTATAATGTGAACCAAATATAAAACATGTATAACATAATTAAGAATTAAAATTAGTAAATAAATAATATACATTACTTTCTCCGTCCCAATTAATGTGGCACTTTTTCCTTTTAGTCAGTCCCAAAAAGAATGACATCTTTCTATATTAGTAACAATTTAACTTTAAACTTCCTATTTTACCTTAATAAACTAATTCATAGCCACACACTTCTCTATGGCTTATTTTAGACCATAAGTTTCAAAAGTCTTTTTTTTCTTTAACTCTGTGCCCCGGAAAACACCATCAAATAAATTGGGACAAAGAAAGTAATATATAAATTCTTTCACAACTACACTAAGAAAATTCAAATGATAATGATGGACATAAAAAAAGCCTAGAGAACCTAAGATGTCTTATAGATGAAACATATAGTTTTCTAAATAATTGAGAAATCCCTAAGGAGCAGCGACGCAAGGTTCGAAACTCAATGGATAATGAGTAAGCCCCTCTCTACCTTCATCACTTAAATATTAGTCCTTTAATCTGCAAAAGGGTTCGAACTTATAATGTGCGCCGAACCAACACATCACAAGTTGCGCTCTTACCACTAGACTAAAGCTCTATGAGCCTTCAACATAAAACATATATGAAAAGTCCCACAACGGTACTATAAGGCATGGTGGTCACCTTAATATGGCTTGGACAATCCTCATCTCATGAGCTAACTTCTAGCTTTTGAGGTTGAGTTAGACTCGAGGTTCATTTCGTTAACATGGTATTAGAGTAGGACCCATCCCAATTGTTGTTTCCCGATGTTGAGCCCCCATATTAAATTGTCCAACGCTCCAGATATCCAGCCCTGTGCATGGAGGGGGGACGATGAGTCCCACATTGATGCTTTAAGGGATGGGTGGTCTCTTTAATATGGTTCGGATAATCCTCACCGCATGAGCTAGCTTTTGGGGTTGAATTAGGCCCAAGGTCATTTCATTAACAACATAAAACAATAGTAGTTTAGATAGAGCAAAGTTTAAGTGAAGGCATAAATGACTGTGTAAATACACATATATTCATTCTATGATGAGGCTCTTATCTTGATCTTATTCCCACCTCGACTAGGGACTAATTTTGCCTCTTGTTCTCGAAAGAAAGGGATTAAAACGAATTGTTCCCTTATAAACTTTTGCATTTCAAAGTCGGGACAAGGACTATGCAAATTTGAAATTATTTTACTTCATCACATAAACTAATCATGCAATATGTTTAGCTAGATTCAGTGAAAACTAAGAGATATAAAGTAAATTCAGAGCGTAGAGCTCCCACTTGCCATAAGCTTTGACTGATCCTAAAGATATTACCAATTCCTTCCACCATTATTAACTCATTGATAATTGTATCAAATGCAGAGAACAATTAGCTGTTGTATCATCAGCAAGTATAAAAATTGGAAAAATAGTAACATCCATCTAAATATTACCTGAGTTTGCATATCATCTCCGGTCACAATATTTCCAACTGTCCGAAGCGCGGGAATCAAAACCGATGGAGACGGGTGACTACCATGTTTAAATCAGTCAGTTAGAATCAGGAAATACAAAAATAACCTATATAAAGAAAGGAGAATTTTTAAGCGCTTCATAACCAAAAATAAACTGGAACAATACCAAGCACTTACAGTAATAACTCAATTAAACGCGGGCATACTCCAGAATCAATAACAGCTTGAATTTTATCATTTGTACCATCCGAGAGATATGAGAGCGCCCAGCAACCATCAGTCAAAACTTCTTCATCGGTTAAATGAATAAGTTGTTGAAGAGCTGGAAGTGCAGGCCTTGTCTGCACAATCAAGTTTACAGGTTTAGATATGCATAGAATCATCAACATTATCAGGTTTGTCCTCTGTATATCAAGTATTACTTTGAAATTAACGCACCCAAGAAGTATAAGTGTATAAATTGCACAAGTAATGACACATAATATTCTAAAGCTAAATATAAGAATGAGTACCTTAACGATACATAGTTGAAAATGATAGTTTTAACAATGTTGTTCAACAATACCAACAAGAAAATCACATAGTTATTTTATGAAGGTGACAAAGAAGCTTGCACTCATAGTTTGTTCAGAACCAAATACTATCCAGAAATAAAAATTGTTCAACTTGCTTCCAGTAAAAAGACATCTATTGGGTTGGCAGGCCAACTGTATTTAGACATCCGTGCTGGTCGTTAATAATCTTTAATAAAGTCTCACTGAGTGCAAAAACAAAAAGTTTTTCCAGGATTGAGCTCAATGCATAAAGCATGAATCGTCTATCAGCTTTTGAGAAAGATGTGACGGAACAAGCCACCAAGCAAACACTATGGATGAGCAAATAGAATTAGTTATTGCTCAGCATCAATGAAGAATGTGACTAATATGAACCATACACACTGTACTATCTGTTACAGCAAATCTTTATAAATGAAAGAGCACTTATAAGAAATCACCACTTTATATTTGCAATTTAGAAGAGTTAAAAGCTAATCAAGCCTTAAGGATCCACCTGATCAAAAGCAGGCTGTGGTTTGCCTCTGCAGAAATTTGAAAGTGTCCACGTTGCATTTCTCAACATAGACAGCTTGGCATTTGGATTCAGCTGAGATAGCAAGGGAACTAGAGCTCCACAGCTAAGGACAAGATCGCGGCACTTTGGGGAATCACCAGCAACATTTCCTAGAGCCCACACAGCCTAAATGAGGAAAGGAGAATATCCAAATTGTTCTCAATACCATAAATCAAACACTAGCATTCAATTAATGATAACAGTTCACAGAGACAAACGGCCATAAATAACTTATGAAAGTTTCAATTTGCCTCTACTAGTATATACCTGCTCTCGCACATCATCACTAGGAGAACCAAGAAGTTTCACAAAAATTGGGACTGCACCAGATTCAATCACCACCTTGGTATGCTCAGATGTCCCAGAAGCAATGTTTGTGAGAGCCCATGCTGCCTCAAACTAAAACCATTGAAGGGAAAAGTTAAGGTGTTATCGCACTACTTCTCTTCCCATAGGAAAATTCAAGAATAAGAAAGCAAGGTGGCAAACACCTGAAGTTGTGGAAAGTCGTCCCTCACAAGAAATTGAACAAAACGAGGAACAACACCAGCTTGAATTACTTCCTCAATTGGCGGACTCCTTTCTGTTGATAGTATGATCAGAGAGATTATCTGAAAGTCCAAGTAACCACAAGAGAGGAGTAAAACAATAACACAAACCCACAAAAACAATGATTACCTATCGAGAGCAGCTTCCGAAACTGAGTAGTAGCCTCAAGCTGTAGATTTCCATCTTCCGTCCACACACCCGCAACCATTGCTGGTAAGTTCTCTAGCTGCAAACACAAACGTTAATCAATATCCGCTATCCATTTCTATATTTGAAGGACACAAGACTGCCCTAACGCAGAAAAGAAGCTCAAAGAACACTTTGAATAAGTCAACACAGTAAACAAAACCATTTCAGACTGACCAATAATTCTTATATGATTCTCAAAAATAACACAAGAAACTTCTTCATGTAGAGAAAGTCTCCCATCTGGCATGAAAGAAAAGCCACATCTATCCAACACTTGACCCATCACTACAGCACAACGACTACTGTTTCAACCATAGGAATCCTCGATATCTGATTAGCTCCATATGGCCCATTGCTTTCCAATATTCAATAATATGGCTAGTGAGTCAAGCCTCACGTCCACGAGTCATCCCCAAGAGAGCTAGTTTTAAGTACCTTGGGGTCAATAATCCAAGATAACGGAGAGATTGATGATGATATCACACCAGTGTTGTGAAAAGTGCCCACTTCAACACTTAAAGCGCAAAGCGAAGCGAAGCGGGGCAGTTGGTCGCTTCTGTGTTGTGAAGCGTAGCAGGTGATATAAAGTGTGAGCTTCTGCCAAAAAAGCAAGAAGCGCGAGAAGCGACAGTAGCGACAACATTAAAAATAAAAAAGCTCTCTTTTTATCAAAACATCATCTAGCAGCAGAGAAAATCAGGCGACTACGGTTCCCATTTTCTGCATTTTTCAAGTTCAAGTTCATCAAGTTCAAGCCCGGGTAAGTGATTTCTTCTTCCTCCTCCTCCTTTTTATTTTTCTTTCACTGTTTCAGTCTCAAAATAGCAGCGAAATGCTACCAAATTTTTTTTTCCTTCGGTTCTTTTTCTCTTTTCTAATTCTTCTTCTTCTTTCACTGTTTCATTCTTAAATTACAGCGAGATGCTGCCCAATTTTTTTCTTACTTACTGTCAATTTCCTAGAGAAGTTCTCTGGAGATGCTTCGAGGCAAAAGGTGTGTCAGTTCCTTACATTATGGCGATTAAGGACATGTATGATAGGGCAAAGACTCGGGTTAGGACAGTAGGAGGCGACTCCGATCATTTTCCGGTTGTAATGGGGTTACACCAAGGTTCTGCGCTCAGTCCGTTCTTGTTCGCCCTGGTGATGGACGCGTTAACACACCATATTCAAAGGAAGGTGCCATGGTGCATGCTATTCGCCGATGACATAGTTCTGATTGATGAGTCGCGAGCCGGTGTTAACGAGAGGCTGGAGGTTTGGAGACAGGCTCTTGAGTCTAAGGGTTTCAAGCTGAGCAGGACGAAGACGGAATACCTGGAGTGTAAGTTAAGCATTGAGCCGGGGGAAGTGGACATGGATGTGAGGCTTGAATCATAGGTCATCCCAAGTAGAGGCAACTTTAAGTACCTTGGGTCGGTTATCCAGGGGGGAGGGGAGATTGACGAGGATGTCACTCACCGTATTGGGGTAGGATGGATGAAGTGGAGGTTAGCATCTGGAGTCCTGT